GTATCAATCCATGAATCAGTGAATCCGTTTAGAGTAAATAACGATCGAACAATTAGCAGTCGGAAATGTGTTGGGTCCGCTCCGGAAAGCGCATGATAGATGGGACGATTCGTGCACTTGACCAGGTTTGCCATTTTCCTGGCAACCGTGTTGACGATATTTGCATTAGAAATTATGCAAGCTATTTGCAGTCTCATGAACGGCATAAACTGCAAACTTCTGGACTGTGCTGAATTCATGATTTATTGGCAAACTGATAGTTACGTGCGGATAAGTGGTCTTTGGTGACCTTGAACTTTGGCTTTCGTGAACAAGTAGCCATCACAAGTTTATTTGCAAACTTATGAGACCAATGCCATTTGAAAATTACTGCCGAATTAGGGCAATCTCCTGACGAGGTTTTCACCGCGGACATAAAATCTTCGGCAAAATTTGTTTCGGTTTTTTTTCCAGGTGATCGGCTCCGCCCGTTGCCTCAAGGGTCCTTTCTAGCTTTCGGTGCCGGTGGTCCACGTCACACCAAATTACGCTGTTCCCAAAACGATATCATTCTAGATGGCGCCTTTGGGTTCATTTCTTTAGGACTTTGAATCCGCATTCCTTTAATTTCCGAAGTCCGCGTTAATTACCCGAAGTTTAGGTGGCAGAGCATAATGTGCACTGCGTAGTGGTATGGTAGAAGTAAGTCAGAATCATCATGATCTTGGGAAAATGATTATGTTAAATGTCCCCAAGACAAAATTGTCACCTCACAGTCTTCAGCAGACAATTCCTAAAGGAGCTGGTCGTATCTTGTGAAAGGTATTAATCTCCCAGGATATCGTATCATTTATTCAGCTAGTTTGATAAAGTAAAAGGTTCCTGCCCGTTAGGGTCTCCCAGGTCGGGGATGCATGATTCAGAAGACCCACAGATGATCAGTGATTGTATCAAAGAATATTTCAACTTGCTAAACTGAGATAAATACACAGGGAAGAAGTTAGTAAATGGCTCTTCAGAAAGAAGGAGCAAAATTCTGCGTGCGATAATGCATCTCTTACGCAAGTGAAACATACCTCGGAACAGGGTGCCGATTTTATTCAAGGTTGCTGTATCCACTGCCAATTCCCAAATCTGACTGGATTTGAAACCAGTCGACTTGCTTAATTGTATCATGCAGGAAGCGAAAAAGGGTACTTCGTCCACACGGTCCTACATTAAACCGTCGCCGGAAGTTTCTGCGCTGGATCCCCAGTCATTGGTAAGCCAAACGGAAAAAACACTTTTTTTCTGAGTAAAATAGTCCTTTAGACCACACCGTGTCAGAGTCAGGACGCATTACTTCGTTGAGCCACCGGCCATGCCGAGCAATATTCCCTATTGTCCAGCATTAAAATCAAGGTTTTTGGTCTGGATACCCAATAAGTTACTTTACCAGGAGTGCGTAGCGAACAAATAAAAATAATAACGCTGGATTGGGTATGCAATAATAAAAAGGTTCAGTGGGTTCCCTCTGAACAGTTCCCACATATACTAGATTCCGAGACGGTCTGAAATGTTTTGATACCAGGGTTAGCACGAGACTCGCGAATGACCGTTGTAAGCGCGGGCGAAATCAGAAGAGAGAGTGAAACACGTGACCACGTTTGTATTGCGTGAAAATTGTACAAGTGCACGTTTTTGTAGTTTTTTGTCTTCAAACAAAAAACGATTATGCAATTAACAGGATACGTATTGTTATGATAGAAGCAAAATGAAGGTAGAAAACACCACAAAGCATACCCTTCGACATATTTTGGTTACCCTTTATCCTGAGAACAATCCGCAGGGCCGCTGGCTATTCGCACAATGAGGTGGATTTCTCGAAATCTACGGCATGTTCAGACCTGCCACTTCATAGCGTAGAATGTCTATGTATAATGTATATGCTCCTGTATTATTGAAAATCCTTTAATACGGTGATTTGTTTAAGTGAACGAAATCTCCAGGTCAATAAACACCGCCGACTGTGAATACGTTACCTGATGATAAAAAATCGCGAATTGTGGAAAAGATTGACTCACATACAATGAACGTAACTTTCAGGTATTTTTCCACCGGAACAGATTTCCTCAACATTCTAGAATCTAAATGGCCTTTGGAGATGCAACATATGCGTAGGCGCATTCGTGGAAACAAATTTTGGTCGATGATTCTTTGTTGCCAGTAAAAATTCCTTAGTGCACGCTAATTATTTGCTAAACATCGTGCACGTTGGCTGGCAAATTACAGAGTTTTTCGTTACAGGTTCCGAGTTATGCTAGAAAGACCTCGAGGTTCATCGATCTTAACCGACGCACACCATTAACATGCGGTCAGGGGTACATGATGCCTAAATAACTAGCCACATTGAGCTTACGTCGATAATACCAGACAGCTGAACGATCTTAACCGACGCATACCACTAACATGCGGCCAGGGGTACGCGATACCTACCTAACTGGCCACATAGAGCTCGGAACGGGCTGATCTTGAAATACAGACCTGATAGAAGGGCATGTGCATTCTCCAGCACGGGTGTCGACAGTCTGGGAGCATCTGGGTGTTTGCACCACAAACTATAAGTTAGTTTAAGGAGCTCGACCTCACCTTGTTTGTTCCGACACTTTCATACGGCAGCCGCGGCAGTCGCGGACCCAAGTGCCTCAAAACGAGAGAGCATGCATATGTCGAAATTCGACAGGCTACGTTTAGAATGTAGGCGTCACCCTCCGGGATTTGCCGCCTGTCGCAGTGGTACGACGTATGCATCTCAAACTCCCGCATGAGCCATTCGGAGTGCCGGGACACCTTTTGAATGGCATGGCATTCGATCTTTAAGGTGCCCGTTTGCATTCTCCAGTCGGTTGTTGGTCACATTACCGAAATGAACCATTCCGGACTATGCGTGTATGGCCCATTTTCGGGTGATGTACAACCAGCGAGCCGTAAGATAGGAAAGAAATCGGGGATCGGTTCGGCGCAGAAGCTGTAGATCTTGTC